TATCAGCATTTGCAGAATCTTCCATGATTTTAGCTGAGTGGTGTGGGCGGTGGTGGCGTACACCTCTCGACCGTCGGAGGCCACCTCAGCCACCCTATAGGTGTCTCCTGGCAACACCTCCATCACGTGTAGGGGCTTCTCTCGATATTTTGCCTGTAGTTTAGTGGGTTGATCTGGACGTGGTTGCCGTAACATAACAACGACCTCCCCCACTTCGTACCTTGTTCCCGGATAACGGTTCCGGTCGTAATAGGCCTTCATGTTTGCCTGGCCTGTGGCAATAGCATTTCGTACAGAGTCTTGCACGTCATTTGGGTTGGTCCATTCACCACTAGAACGGCTCAGTGTGTTGACCACGCCTCCCACATACCTTGGTCGGTATCCATGGAGTGCCTCAAAGGGTGTACGAGTGCTTGTTTTGTTTACGGCGGAGTTGAGGTGTCTCTCCAGTTCCGGTATCCGTTCGTCCCATCGATCTTGATTGGTTGTCATTATGGCTAACAATGGCACAATGGTCCGATTCGCGCGCTCGACCTGCCCATTGGCCTGCGGGTGACGTGTTGAGTTTAACGTGTGGCGAATACCTCGACTTTGGCAGAATTTCCCAAACGCCTTCCCGGTGAAGCAGGTACCACGATCGCTTATGATACGTCCGGGAATTCCGCGCGTGTCACAGAATTTCGTCAATCTGTTCAGTACACCGGCGGTGTCCGTGGTACGGCACGGATACAGATGCGTGTATTTTGTTAGGTTATCCACCAGTACCAATAGGTACTTGTTACCTGTGGCGCTGGTTTCAAAAGGACCCAGATGGTCGATGTGTACTACTTCGAACGGTCGCCTACCAGTCGATATTGGATGTAGGTAGCCTGGATTCTTGCCGGCGGGTACCTTGTGTATTAGGCAATCCAGGCACATTTGGATGTGCTGTTTGACATATCGGCGTAGTCCGGTAAACCAATAGTCCTCGGTGATCTTTGCGACAGTTCGGTCCAACGAAAAATGACCCCCGTAATCGTGTGCACCAACGACGATCCCTTTCCTCATCGACCGAGGCACGACTAATAACGATTTTCCGGCATGTCTTCGGTACAGGACACCATCGTGTAGTTCGTACGGCTCAGTCAGGGACTTCTCGTGCTTGGTGAGTTTTCTTGTTGTTTTCATCAAATTAATCAGATTTGCGCTCGCGGCGTCACCTTGTTGCATAAACCGCACTTTGTCCACGACAGTCATAGCAACAAAGACGTCGAGCCGTTTGGTAAGCTCGTGTTCGACCGATATTTCTTCCGTGTCGAAAGTCGGCGGGGCGGCGCGGCTCAGGGCATCTACGGGTGCCATACGGCTACGGTTGATTAAAATAATCGATTTATTTAATCCCATTAAACATAATTTATATTTAAAAAGTAAAGCAAATATATATTTTTTTCTATTATTATTATTACTATAATAGCTTAAAACCCCATGGCAACCATTTATAAACAAAAATTTCCATCTGTAATCTCAAAATTCCCGATTGAGCACCTCCCAGGGTTGGTCCTCTTCCTTTTTAAATTAGCCTATGTTTTAAGTTGGACCAAAATACACACAGTGTAAACATTTCATCAAGATCGTTCCAGTAGTTTTTACGTGAAAGAGTAACAAAGTCACAAACTTTCGCATTTATAGTATTAATAGGATATATTGACAAAAAACAATAACACAAATCAACAAACATGTCCGATTAACCAATAGCAACCAATATAATATAATACACTGTTGCGCCACTGTTGTTTTTTTACATCCAGATTTCCTACTTTTCCGGTAGATTTTCCTAAAATTTTCTTTCGTAAAAACCTTCTCCTGGCAATTACAAACATCTTAAAAAAAATTTAAGCCAAATTGGTCCAGGCGTTGTTGAGTTAGGCGCTTACCAACACATTTTGCGATTCGTTTTTATATTATAGATAGTAGGTATCGCTTACAGCGTAGTATGTGCCAAATAATAATAATAATAATAAGAGACATTTTAATATTCCAACAGGGCAAATGAGCCAAGGCAGCATTTTGTAAAATAATATTTAAGCACCTGTATGTTTGTAAGAGATTCATAAAGACAAGTGGTGTGTGTTTTTGTTTATGTATAATACAGTTATTCAATAGTGTGAATTTATTGTCATCTATTATTTTGTGTTCTATCGAGAGATAGGTACCTACGACAGTGGCGCCTAACGTGGGGGCTCGAACCCACGACCCCGAGATTAAACTGAAAGTACGTGTGCCCTATGTATACTTAAATGGGCGCTCACGAAATGCTTCCCATCGGACCCTCGAATTGCTTCCCGTGATTTTTTTTTTAAAGGTTACCCGAATTGCCTCCTAAGAGGATCCTACTCTTGTACTGGAATCGCCTACGAATCAATTTATAAAATCATAATTTAGATGAAATATCATTCTATTATACAGTCAAAAACTTAAGTTTGTATAAAATAAATGTTTTAATAAATAGACTGACACAGCAGTAATAATTAACAATATTAAAAAAAAGGTGCTCTGCTGTACAGTAGGTTACAAGTGGGTCACTGTATTATGAATAGTATAAAATTTGAATTCAATGATATAATATCATTGTATTAGAAAAATGATTCTGAGCGGAGACGGTATGTCAGTCTAGGTATAAGACATATTATATTTATATACTTATCTATCGTATTAAAAAAAAATTACCTAAAATAGGTACCTATAATAAATTCCAAATTAATTATATCACAATATCCATTAGGTACTTATAATGCGTTATACGTCAACAACAAACCCTGATAATATCATAGTCCATACTCCATAGATATATAAAAGTGTACTTTAGAAGTTTCAAGTACCCACGAATAATATTACACAATCACAAGAAAATAACTAAAATAGTTATTCTAGGTTTTTTAATATATAATTTCGTCCAAATTTGAATTTAAAATGTCTGTAAAAAATAACTGTGTTAATATATTTTTTGGATTTTTTGGTTACAGTATGAACTATTTATGAGAACCTTTGTTTTAAATTTTCAATCCTTAGCTATAAAAACTGAAATTTTATAATTTATTAATTAGAATGATTTATAATTTTCGAGATTGATAAATTTTGTCAAAATCCGATATGCTTATAAAAAAAATTGTGACTATGTATTTTTTATATTTTTCAATTGCTATTGTAACAATATATCAGGAGCTTCGCATTAAATTTTCACACTTTTTTACCCAACACATAAAACTTTATTGATATTCATAGAAAAGTAAACTAAAAAAAATGAAAAATGAAAATGTCCGTTAACATTTCAAAAAGAGTCAAAATATTTTCAAAATTATATGGTGTATAGGAAATGCTAATATAAATATTCAGTGAAATTTTCATGTATCTACAGTTATTCGATTTGAATTACAACAAAATAAGGAAATCGAGTGAATACCTATCCAATGTTGTAAAAATTTGAATTTCAAACGCTCATAAAAATTTAATTTGACTTTCTTATAGACATTTTTTTTTTGATAAAGGTAGATAATCTTATAAGGTATCTTGTATTACATTTTAAAACCTTAGATTTAAAAAGAAAAATTTTTACGAATTCTTAACTCAAAATAATTTGCTAATTTTCGTGATTTTTCCATATTTTGTCAATTTTTCCATATTTCGTCAATTTTTGAACTTTAAATGCTTATAAAAAAACTGTCAATAAGAATTTTTAATATTTTTCAAATGCCATTGTAACAATATAGTAGGAGCCTTGTATTAAATTTTCAAGCTTTTTTAACCAACAAAAAAATTTTATTGATATTTTTAGAAAAAAAACTAAAAAAAAAATGGAAAATGAAAATGTGCCTAAATAGTTCAAAATAAATCAAAACATTTTGAAAATATTATCGTGTATAGAAAATGCTAATATAAATATTTAGACAAAATTTCATGTACCTACGGTCATTTTTTTAAGAGTTGCGATAAAAACCAAAATCGATTTTTTCGAAAACAGATTTTAGTGTAAAACTACCCGTTTTTCCTTAATTTTTATTTTGTTTTTCACGCTGCTTTTGAAAAGTACTGTGGAATTTTCACTTTTGATCCCCCAAAGTACCAACTAGATTCACTTTCCTATCAGAAAAGCTACTGCTGAAGAAAATCCAAGCACTTTTACTGTCCTGGAGTGTCCTAAAACGTGATGGCAGACACAAAAAAAAAAAATAAATAAAAAAAAAACACACATCATTGTAAAATCAATACATTCATCGTTCCACTCAGAACTTTAAATATTAAAGACGAAATATCATTCTGTTATACAGTCAAAAACTTAAGTTTGTATAAAATAAATGTTTTAATAAATAATAGATTCACACAGCAGTAATAATTAATAATATTAAAAACGATAATGATGAAATATCATTCTGTTATACAATCTTCACTCATCAGTTATCATCTGATAATCGCAAATTGCGGAAAAGATTATTGAATTCGAAAAATGAATCGGTCTGGGAAATACTGTTTTTATTTTTTATATTTTATTTTTGAACATTACTGATTAATATAATAATCGATAGTACACGTTCAACTATCGGATATATTAGTTAATAATCCAGGTATGTTATGGGATTCAATTCAAGAGTCACCACTTAATAAACCTATTAAAAGACAACCGGTATGAGGTATATAATTTATACAAAAATATATTTAATACAGAACAATATATAGGTAATGCTATGCTGTGCATACTTAATATTATACACCATAATATGTAGGTACCTATGTCAATTAATTTGTTATTTATCAGTTGTCAATTTATTAATTACATTTAATATACGCCTATGTTTGTATAAATAATATCAAATGTATATGTGGTACAGAAAATTATGTGATATTATTATTATATAATTTAACTACCTCGACTAACTAATACTTACTTATAATTTAAACTATTTAATTCATATAGGTATAAATATTTATTTATTATAATACAGACTACAGTATCTTCCAGAAAGGTAGTAGGTACCTACATATTATACATAATGATACGATAATCATAAACACTTTATAATAGTATACAAATTACCGCAATGATTAATGTATTTAATATATTTTGCTATTTATCAATATTACTAAGTACGACGTTTGACGTTTGTGTCCGGATTCGTCGTTTGTTTATCCAGACAACAGTCTACATTTTATAAAAACAGTAATATTAATATATTATGCATATATTCACATTAAAGGTAGGTACACTATAATAATAGTCTAAAGATTCTGAGCAAAATAAGGCAAGTATTGATGTTGTGATTCGTTAAAATTTCTGATTCATATAATGTTACTGCAGTAACTACTAACTTGTATGGCAATATGCCGTATAAATCAACGTATATACATACCTATAATAATATTGTATTATAAACAGAGAAAATTATAAGTATTAAACTGTTTTTTTTCTAAGCTATGCTCACAAAGATGTTTAATAAATTATGTTTTGACTTTAAAATAAAACGTCCATCACACAACATTTGAATAAATAATTTAATACAATTGGAATTTAAATGTTTCAAATTAATAGTTGATATTTACAATATTGAATATATTATTTTTTTATGTTGTAACCAAAACATTCGTCAATGGTTACTAAATATTTTTTTATTTTTTTATTTTTAATAAGAATTGAACCATCTATACTAAGAGCACAATAAGCATATTTGAAGAGAGTAAACAAGCAGGATAATACGGGGTTAAGAAGTCACCCATTAGCAACACTTAGCATACTAAATATTTTAATATATTATACATTTATTTTGGCTAAATGCTTATTATTAGAAAAAGGGAATTTTCATGAAATATACAGTTTTTGCTAAATCAATTTTGGTTTTTGGTGTAACTCTAAAATACATTTTTGAAATACGTGAAAATTTTACTGAATGTTTATATTAGCATTTCCTATACATCATATAGTTTTGAAAATATTTTGACTCTTTTTGAGCTATTTACGGACATTATCAGGTTTCAATGTTTTTAATTTTTTTTTCTATAAATATCAATAAAATTGTATTTGTTGGGTAAAAAAGCATGAACATTTAATGCGAAGCTCCTGATATATTGTAATAATAGCAGTTGAAAATATTAAAAATACATGGCCCCATTTTTTTTTTATTAGCATTTAAAGTTCAAATATTGACAAAATAAGTAAAAATGACGAAAATTTCTAAATTATTTCGAGTTAGAAATTCATAAAAAATGTTTTTTTAAATCTAAGATTAGAAAATGTAATACAAGATTCCTCATACATTTGTCTACCTTTATCAAAAAAAAAAAATGTCTACAAGAAAGTCAAATTAAATTTTTATGAGCGTTTGAAATTCATGTTTTTACAACATTTGATATTCACT